GGCACAGTTTTCTTGTGGGAGGGTTGAGGAGCAGGGGCGACCTGGTCTGACCTTGGTCCTCCTAGTCCCCTCACAATGGCACAATCAGGACTGATGCTGTGATCCTCTTTCCCTCTATGGAGACTCCTCCGCAGATGGGTCCAGGACCAGGCGGAAACAAGCTAAAGAGCTCAGGAGGAGGATGCTACAGAAGACTTGGTACTGCTCTGCATATGGGTCGCTGGAACTTCACTTCCCTCTCAGGCTGCCCCTGGCATTTAAGTCCAGGGGGATGATCACACTGGGAGGAAGCCTGGACTATATCCCCTGGGAGGTCTGGGGCTTCAGCATCCAGACTCAACCTCTGGGTGAGTCTGCTCTTACCTGAAAGGATGTGAGCCTATGAGAGGTGGAAGCTAGGCAGAGGTGATCATCAATATCTACCTAATTAATGACAATGACACAAACCAAAGATAATCAAAACCTGCAATGAATTGGGGCTGGCCCCGTGGCCGAGCAGTTAAGTTTGCGCGCTCTGCTGCAGGCAGCCCAGTGTTTCGTTGGTTCGAATCCTGGGCGCAGACATGGCACTGCTCATCAGACCACGCTGAGGCAGCGTCCCACATGCCACAACTAGAGGGACCCGCAACGAAGAGTATACAACTATGTACTGGGGGGCTTTGGGGAGAAAAAGGAAAAAATAAAATCTTAAAAAAAAAAACAAACCTGCAATGAATTGAGTAAACTGCCAAGAAAAAACCCTGACAATTACAGGATGGGCTTTTGGGCACAGTGATGGCACCTGTCCTCCAATGCCCAAATGAGGGCAGGGGCTTTATTCCTGATAAAGACAGGAGTGACCATGGGGGAAGAGTCTAGTTCAGGATCTCTCAGACATCTAGAGGCTCTTGCATGGCCAACAGCTGTTTTCTGGCTGTTGAAAAGGTCATTATGTCAACTGAACCTATGGGACCAATGTCCATATGTCAGAGTGGCCAAGTTAGGTCTGTGTGGCAGCTGTTGAGGTGCCCTACTCACCTCTCCCTTCAAGAGAACCTGCTGTGAGATGTGTAATTGGCTGACAGTCCCTAGCTGCTCTACATCTTTCCATCTGCCTCAATGTTCGTGTCCCCCGACTTCAGCCCAATGGAGGACTCCTCCAATAGGCCATCTTTGCTCCGAATTCCCCACTGGCCTTGCTGACACTTTCTTAGAGCTGCACTGTAACCTGAGACTCTTCCCACCCAATTCTTCCTTCCCTCTCTCCTTTCACATGTGTCAGGCTCTCCCTGCCTACTCCTGCTCCCCTCCCCCTTTATCCTTCACAGCTGTTTGCTCCTATAAATCTCTTGCGCATCTAATTCTGTCTTGGCATCTGCTTCTCAAAAGACCCAAACAAAAGTCTAGTATATTCATGGTCCGGATCCAGCACTACTGGAAGGTTGATTCTCAGGGTGGGCAAATCTGGGGAATTTTGTAATAGCTGGAGAGAGGGATGTGGACAGAATCACTTGAGCGTTGAGATGGAGGGCTGGAGAAGGGTGCAAAAATCAGAGAAGATGAACACAATGTTCATCAGTAAATGCAATGAGCTGGATAACTTACAATGCACGTTCACTGACGGAGGAGAAAACATTAGATGGTTTTAATCCCAACACCATCATCTCTTTGGCCAAGTCACTTAGGCTTAATTTCCTCATCTATAAAATGGGAATAATTTAGGGGCCGGCCCTGTGGCAGAGTGGTTAAGTTCACATGCTCTACTTCAGCGGCCCTGGGTTTTGCAGGTTCGGATCCTGGACACGGACATGGCACCGCTCATCAGGCCATGCTGAGACAGGCATCCCACAGGCCACAACTAGAAGGACCCACAACTAAAAATACATAACTATGTACCAGGGGGCTTTGGGGAGAAAAAGGAAAAAATCTAAAAATCTTAAAGAAAAAAAGAAAGGGGAATAATTTAACTTACTTTGCTGGGTGGTTGTAAGAACGAAGAGGATGATGCATGTAAAGTACTTAGGAGGGTGCCTGGCACAGGAGCTCTCAATCCAGAGTAGCTATTGTTAATTATTAGTATTTTGCTTTAGGAAAAGAAAGAATGCCTTTCCTCTTGCTTGAAGCCAGGTATGGGCTGGTTCAATAAGAAAAGCACCAGATCCACTCTGGGAGGGGCCCTGGGGGCTTGGCCCCCTCTGGTGATGGGCCCCTGGGAAAGGTAAGTGTTCTGCATGCACCCAGGGGGGAGGGTCAGCTGCTCCACTCAGACCTTGTTGCTTCTGGCTGAGGGCCTGTGTGGGACCCTCCTGGAGGGAGGGGACAGAGGTGGGAGAGAGAAGGGGAGGGGAAAGGACCTCAGAATTTAAGGTGAGGTGGTTTTTGGTCGGTAGCTTCAGATAGGATGAAAAATGGATCAGAATTGGAGCCTGGAAGTGGAGTCAGGGTCCAGGCCTGGAAGGCCAGGCTTTGGGCTCCTCCTCTTTCCTTTGTTCATCGCCCTCAGCTGGTGAGAGAAGTTAAACCACTGCCAGCCCCATCCCGCTGTGCCCAGGAGGACTGGGTTGTCCATGATGGAGCGAGTTCTAAAGTGGACCCTTGTCCTCACAGGCGCCAGGCAGTGGCGAGGGCTTGGCCGTGTGGGGATGAGAGCAGACCCAGTAAAAAGGGGGCAGTCCAAGAAGACAGACAGGTGTTCAGGCCTGAGAATGCTCCTGTCCTTCCCCTGGCGACCCAGAGCCTGCCACACACCCCCAGCTCTGGCCTGATTGTCCAGCATAAGACAGGCCCCAGTTTGGCTAGCTGGACCCCCACAACTCTCTGCCGTCTCCTTCTCAGCTGCTTTTAAGAAGCCCATTTTCCTGAAAGGAAGGGTAGATGACAAAGTAAGTTCCTCAGGAGCTGACTCTAGGGAAGAAAATGACACTAGGTGGCAGTTTATCTCAGCAGTCCGTCTCCCTCTTACCTCCAGCCCTCCTCCCCGCACCACACGTGTTGCGTTCTGGCTGTCAGGATGCTCTGCGGCCTGGCACTCTTTTCTGCCTGGGAGGAGAGTAGCCAATAAGCTAACCACATTAAGGACTTCATTTGTCTCCCACTCCTCCAGGGCAGGGACTGGTAAATGTCAGCTGGGCTGAATTGGATTCTCTGCAAATGAAGGAATGAAAGAACTGAGGGAGAACGGGTGCAAACCCCCTACATACAACCTCATCCACCCCTCCTCCTCTTCCTACTCCTATTCCCTCCTCTCTCCACCCCCACCTTCCACAGTCCCCCTGTTGGGGGCGGGATACTTACTCTCTCTGTGCCAGATTCCGTGTCTGTAAAACAGAATAACACCCGTGGTATCGGGCTGTTGTGAGGTTTAAGTGAGATGAGGTCAACATAACAGCTGGCCCAGCATTTTCTGGGTCCCGCGCTGAAGGCCCTTGTGAGGGGGATGGAGTAGCTGCTGTGGGTCTGGGGAGGCAGTTCCTGGCCAAGGAGGAAGAAGCTAGGGGCAGGGTGGGGATGGGGGGCTTCCAAGGGGACGGAAGCTCAGAGGAGGACTGACTGGTTGGCAGAGGAAGTGAACCCACGCGTCAAAGGGGCTCTGCCCAGAGGCAGCTCTGGTCTCTATCGCTGAGTGGACACAGTGTCCTGGCTTCTCTCCTGTCCCCACAGGCTCCTGGTGGATCAGGTGTTCAACTAGCATTTCAAAGAACATCCATTGAGCCAGGTACTGGGATGGGCCTTTTTACTCGTTTTGTCTATATAAGACAGGTGTTATTGTTCCCATGATACAGTGGGGCACTTGGGGGCTCAGAGAAGTGGTCAGCCAGCTGGTGAGAAGTAGAGGTGGGGCTTGTTTGGTCTGGTGATTCCAAGCACAGTGCTCTCTGTCCTGCAGTAAGATGTACACCTTGGTTCTGCTGGGCCATCTGCATGCCTACTGTGTGCCAGCCCCTTGGACTAGGTTCTGGGAATGTCAGGTGAACAAGACAGACACAGTCTCAACTTCACACAATTCACAGTCTCATTTGGGGAGGCTGACAAGTAATGGGGCAGTTACAACACAGCACGCTAACTGCTATCTGAAGTGAAGTCCCCAGACCAGGCGACCTTGAAGAGGGGCATCTGACCCAGACAGGTGATCAGGTAAGGTCTCCTAGTAAGTCATGGCAGAGAACCATGAGTGCCCCTAGAAGCCCCACCCCCCAAATTCCTCCTCCCAAATCAGGGCAATAGCAAAGTTAGGCATAAGTGGCATCTGCAAGGGGGCCCTTCCCACCTCCCTCCCTCACTCCCTCTGGCACCGCCTCTCACCAGTGTCTCAGGTCCCTGAAGTATAGGTGTTTCCACTGTGGGTGTATGAAATAGACCAAGAGGGCAGAGCCAGCTCTGGCCTTGCATCTCTCCTATGGGCACAGCAGGTGCAGCCACTCCGTTCCCCATCCCCTGGTGGGCCTGGGATCTCAGAAGAGCAGTGGGGGAACAGGTCACATTGAGGCCTATCCTCTACTGCCCTGACCCTATTCCTCCCACATAGCCCACAACTTCTTCTGGAACTAAGTTGGCAAGAACCTGTCCCTCGCTCAGCTTCCCTGCCTTCCTTGTAATTCTCAATGCCAGGAATAACCTCCCTTGCTCACATGATGACCTCCTTTTTCATCTGGGGGCCTCCTCAATCAAGAAGTATTCCTGCCTAGGAGGAGAAGGAGTTGACGTCTCATCCCGGCCCCCTGCTTCGGGAATAATCCCTGTAGGTGTGCTATGGACCTGGGGCCATTCCTAAAGGGGCTGGTCCATTGGTGGCATCCTAGAAGCTGAGTCTGTGATCTGGCACGGCCTATGGGAAGCCCCCAAAGGCTCCATGGCCTGGCAATGGCCCACTGGACTGGCCTAAGCAAGTTACCCTTTGTCTTTCTTTCTCTTTGTCTCACTTTCTCTCCCTGAAGCTCCCGCTCCTTACCTGGGAAAACAGACACGGAGACTTGCTGGACCCACAGGAGCTCAGAGGGAGAATCAGAGACAGAGACGCTGACTTTGTACACAAAACAGCTTTATTAAAAATTCAGCTATTAATAAAACAAAGGCTTCACAAGGGTTCTATCAAAAAGTACAAATTTTAAATAAATGCGTCAGAAAACTGGTAACCAGATACACCAACCAGTCACAACCTTGAGGGAAGGGAGGAGGTGCGCAGAACCCCAAGAAGAGGCTAGGCGCAGGGGTCTTTGGATGCCTGTGGGCCGGGTCCTGGAGCTACCAGGCAAGGGCCCTGACAGTTTTCCTGTCCTTGGAAAAATGGGTCTTTACTTGTCAAGTGTAGGAAACTCTCAGTCTGAAGCAGAAAGGCACAGAAGTCATTGATAAGGCACGTGTGACTCCAGCCCTTAGGCACACAGAGTGGATGAATGGGCAGTCAGAACCATAGGGCTCCCGGCTCTGGCTGTGCTCCTGATTGGTGCCACCTCTGGGTTTGGCCCCAGCTTAAATTAAGGTGGACCACGTGGACGGCATAATCCCTGCAGCCAGGGGCCTGGAGTCGGTCTTTAGAACAGATGTGTTTGTTGCTTCACTGGCAAACTGGTGTCTGGCCCCGCCAGGGCAAGAAGGATCACACTGGCCCCCAAGGAATCCCCTCAGTGGGGACACCAGGCCTCCTGTCCAATCCTGTTCACTGAGCCACTGTGGGCACCCACCTTAGACAAGGAAATCCTTGGCATCTAGGCATCTGGAGAAGCCCCAGACCCCAGAGCCAAGGTTTCTCTGGATGGCAGGCAGCGACCCGAAAAGCTGGCATTGTCGAAATCAGTCTCCAACAGCTGCTGGCCCATACCCATGGTCATTGGTGGCAGGCCTCCCTGGTGACATTAGGCAGTGGGTAAGCGAAGAGGGAGAAGTCCAGGATGTACTTAGGTAGCACGTCCTGCAGCAGGGCCCGGGGAGCACTGCACAGGTGGTAGTGCAGGCTTTCAGGGCTGGCCGGCCGGTACCAGGACTGGCGAGCTGGGAATCGCACATGGGGTGGTGCCTGCACCCACTCCAGCACCTGGTTGGCATCAGCCTCCAGCCTCTCATAGGAGCCTACAAAGTCATAGCGCACCGCACAAGGCTGGCACAGGTGGTACACGGGCATCCAATGCTCATTCATGCGCTCAGGGTCCTCGTCCACCAGGTATCTCAGAAACTCCGGGAAGGTGACATCATCCCCTGCGGGGCTGGGGCCCGCTCCAGCCCTGTACCGCCGCACGATCTCAGCGCCATAGCGCTGTTGGTACTCTCGGATCTCGCCAAACTTGTTGCGGTAAGCAGAGAGGAGGCGCTCCAAGGGGTCCCGCACAAACAGGAACTTGAAGTAGTGCTGCAGGCGGTAGCGAATCTCCTCAGGCCGCAGGTCTGCTAGGAACACCAGATCATTGCGGTGGTCCATCTTGAGGCGGACGTCCACGCTGTCCAGGACGCCGGCCAGCACCTTCAGCACCCGCTTCCAGTTAGAGCAAGCCACCTTGGGGACGTAGCAGTACAGGAAGCGGTAGCGGTCACTCACGAGGATGTGGCGTAGCAGGGTGCGCCGCTGCCCCACTGGCAAGTCCCAGGGGTCCCGCGGCATGCCTGGTTGTCCGCACACTGCCCGCAAGGTCCGATTCCGGACGTCCTGCCTCACCTGCAAGTCCGAGTCCCCAGCATCCAGGGACAGCCTCCCAGGCCTGAGGACTGTCCCGCGCCAGGCCACACCCTCGCGATTTGGAGGGTGCAGGGGAAGGGGCTTCATCTCGGCCAGGATGCCCCGCTCGATCATGAGCAGCAGCCCGCTGGAGGCCACGATCACCGCGAACATCAGCATGGACGGCAGCAGCAGGGGCGGCCCCCCCAACCCCGCCCGGGCCCTGCCCAGTGGGGGCCGCCTCAGCGCCCGGCCCAGGGGCTCGGCGCCATTTGGGGCTGCCAGCGGGGTCAGCGGGCGGGGGAACATGGTGCTCCCGGGGTGGGGGCCTGCGCGGGCAGCCCGATCCGAGGGCCGCCCGGGAGGCGGGCTCGGGCTGGGGGCGGGAGCCGAGGGTTGGGCCCGCAGCGCCGGGCGGGGGTCGAAGAGGGGAGCGCTGGCGGGAGGGTTGGCGCGCGCGGGGGTGGCCGGCTCCCGGGCTGCGGCGCCGGAGCGGGCGGCGGGCGGGCGGGCGGGCGCGGCGAGGGACCAGGGCCGGATGTCCCGCCCGGCAGCTCTCCGCCCCCAGCCCCGCCGTGACACAGGCGCGGGGGCGGGCCCAGGCCGGGGGCGGGGAGAGGGGCGGGCGTCCCTGCAGGGAGCGGGCTACCAGGGAGCGTGCAGACCCCTACCCGGGAGAGGGCGCCTGAACCAGGGCCGCCCTAGTCCTCCGGGCTTCGGGGACAAAAGCTCGCAAGGCTCTGAAGGCAGAAAAGACCCGGGCCGCGGCGCCCTCTCTTGCGCAGCGCGTGCCCTCAGGGAGCTGGACGGAGAGGGCCTGCGCCCAACACCCTGCCGCTCGCTCCGGCCTGGCCGAGCCCTTCCTCCCGCGGCGGGTCCCGAGGCTGGGGCCCCCCGCAGAGCTCTCCGCGAGTCCAAACTTTGGAGAGGCCCGTCTCTCTCGCTGGAAGCAGAGTCCCCAGTGTGCTCCCCCTGCCCACCCTGTCCTGCCCGCTCCAGTAAAGAGGAACAAGACTGTCGAGCACTGACCAATGGCTCATCTCCATGGTGACCCTTAGATTTAACAGTACGTGGTGGATTACAGTGTTTATCCACTGGGTAATGCTGAAATGTCTGGAAATGGAATCTTCTCCCCTCATCTGCCTTCCCTTCCCCAGGTCTGGAGAGGTGGGATACCTGGGACACTCTCTGGTGAGAGGCCAATGACAGGTCGGTGCCTTCTGACCACTGGTGTGGCCGGCACACGTTTTGAAGGGTGAGGGGCTGGGGGCACAGAGCAGGAGCCTTCTTTGCCTGGAGCCATGTGCTCAACAGCCAGTGACGTAGGCTAGAGGCAGCTATGGGAATGCCTGTGCCCACCTGAACTGGGCACCTAGCTAAGCATCCAGACCTCACCCTGTTATGTGTGGGAGCCAGTGAGGCTCTGAAGCAGAGTAGTTATGCGATCAGAGTCCACAGTTACCAAGGCAGGTGTCTGTTCAGTGTCTTGTATTCTCTCCTTCAGTTGTTACAGTCGCCCTGTGACTAACATCCTGGGAGGTAGGTACTATGGGCAATCGCACGGTACAGCTGAAGAAACAGAGGCTCAGGGAAGCTGAGACTCTCTCTGGATCGGTCTGATTCTAAAACCTAAGTTCCTAATTATGATCCTTCAGAGATTAATGGAGTACAAACATGGAAGGGTGGGAAGAGAGGAAGCAGCTGACCCCAGGGAGTGATGAAATAGGAGAAGATGCCAGAGGCTTTGAGTCTAGTGGGAGAGTGGAGCTACCACTGATCAGATGAATTCAGAAAGGATGAGGGGCTCTGAGGGATGAGCCGAAGCTAGAGGGCTCATGGGTTTCCCCCAAGCCCCATCCTTGTAATGTGAGAGCACAAAGGATGAGCAAGAGGAAGGAATGGAAACCCTGGAGGCCTTCCAGCTCCTTAGAGTAGGCTCCCTGCATTCCACTGTCTGAATGCTGGGGTGCACCTCAGGATGCACCGTTCACTGCTAGAGAAATTAGCGTTCAGGTTCAGCCTTCACCCAACTGCTTCCTGCCTCCAATAGCACTGAAGGTAGATTGCTGGTGGTGGAATTATTTTCTACTGAAATCTTTCGTTTGTTTGTTTTAAACAGTAAGTACATCTTTTGTACTAGGAAAGGAAAAAAACCTTTGAAAAGTTTTTGATAACTTGGCCACATGCACTCATTTCTCTGAACAGTTTTCTGCGTTAGCAGTCACAGAGAAGGAGTCTGAGTGCAGGAACAGCCACTTAGTGGGGGGGAATCCTTGGGCAAGGTACTTGTCTCCACACCAGTTTCCTGTCTGTAAAATAATAGGATATAACCCATATCATGGGACTCCTGTGGGCAGCACACTGATGGCAGTGCTATAGTCCATGGTGGTGTTCATGCCACTGAAAGCCTCAGTGGAAACGCACCTGCCCAGATGTCCTTACCAAGATGCAGAAGAGGGTGGAGCAGCCATGCTTTGCCTCCTAGGAGTCCCCATGGCCTTAGAATTGCCCCACCTTGAGCACAGTCAACAGAGGCTTTGTGGCTGGGGCTGGTTTGAGCCGGGGTCCAGGCAGTCATAAACCCTTGGCCCCATGAAATGGTCTTCACTCCCTCAGCAAGGAGTGCCAGTTGCTAGATATGAGGCCCTGGGACAGTTTTTGCTAGCCAGTTCCAAGAGCATGACCCAAGGTGACGAGATGATAGCCTCACCATGCACCTACTCAGCGACCAGCTCCTAGGTCACTGACCAGGGGAGGGCTGGCAAGCCAAGGATTTCACAGTCCAGGCAGGTGGCTCTGGCCACCACAATGCCAGGAAGTCAACTATAAGCTCCCACTCCCGCCGCCTCTCCTCCTCCCTCTGATTTTTCCTGCCCTCTCTGCTTACTGGCCTCAGTGAGCCCCTGCACTGTAAAGGTTAAGAGGGATCCCCAAAATAGAGTGGTGAACCCCTTGCACCCACACACAAAGACGACAGGACACACAGGAAATGATCCTTTTCTAAATCAATACAATTTCTCAAATTTATTTATTTTTCTTAAAGAAGTACTTCTAATCTCTGTCAAAAGGGAGGTGAGGAAAGGTCCTCCCTCCCTTGTAAACACTGAAATACAGATCTGAGAAACCAGGGTCGACACACACAAAAAGTGCATTTTACAAAATATCAACTAAAATATATTTTACATGAATTATGCTTCCATTGAAATTCTACCAGCTGCATTTTCAGGTTCGAAAAAATATTTCCACATCTAAGAGATTTCAAAAGCATTTAAGTTCTGGGCAGCAGACCCTGCCTCCTGGGAGGAGGGGCCTTGATCTCCTCTCCTGCTGGGTGAGGCTGGGCCCCTTGGCAGCAAGGGCTCAGCACCTGGGAATGAGCTGGCTCCAAGGCTGGCTCTTCAGAACCCCCATGGCCACTCTCACCAGCCTCTCTTACTGCCTGGCCCTCCCGGACTGATGATGCCTTCCTCTAAACAGCTTATTCAATACAAGGGGACCCAAGTCCCTTCCCTCCGGGTTTGGGATTGGGCTTCCCATGTGTAAATTCACCTCAGAAGCCCCGAGGCCTCCCCCCTCCCAGCCCAGTGGCCAATCAGGAGCAGCAGGTCTTCTCTGGGCAGCACGGGGGAGGGGGTTGCTCGGAGGGAGTGCCCTCACGATTGATTTGCTTCTACCTCCCTCTCCAGCTCCTGTCCTCACCAGCGCCACCTCCTCAGCCTGCGGGGTCTATGTCTGCCTCTCCGTAGGGGAGGAGGACTCAATGCTGTCCTCCTTGTCTTCTGTCCCCAAGGGTGTACCCCATGGGAGTGCTCACGAGCAGGTTCCCAGCACCAGGCCCAAGCCACGCTGTGTCCCTCTCCCTCCGTCTCCAACCATGCTCCTCTTTGGTACAAATAGGAAAGAACCGGGCTGCTCCAGCTCCCTCACAGAGAGCCCCAGGGCCAGGGTCTAGCCCTGGCAAGGACAGCAGGGAGCTGGCTGAGCCTCCTAATCTACTCTGGGGAGCAGCATGAGGTGAGAAGAGGGCCCCTGGGCAACAGGAACAAACTGAAAATGCAGGTCCTTAGCTCCTAGAGTGAGTGGCTGCAGCTCAGCAGGTCTGCGGACTGATACAGTGTTGATTCTCGCTGGGATGTAAATTAGTGCAATCTACAAAAGACTAGGGGAGGGGGTGGCAGGGCAAGGGGAGCCACAGCACTCCTTTGGTTTGATTTCAGGTGGGTGTGGCTTGAAGAGTCATGTGTGAAGTTCTGCAAGAGGTTTCCTAGAACCTCCAAGAGTAAGGCAAGAGGAAAAGTCTTCAATAAATCAGGTAGCAATTTTCCTTGCCCCCTGCCCCCCACCCCCTCCCAGCTCCCTTCTGCCCTGAAACGAACCCCATGTTGATCAGTTAACTTCTGGGAAGCCAGACCTGCTGGGCCACCCTCACCAGGAGGCGGACAGGAAGCTGACTCCCACAAGTGGGCCACACCCAGGACTGTGAGGGCCGGGTACCTTGTCCCAGCACCAGGGGCTACTGCAGGGGCAGAGGAGGAAAGCTAGGGAAAGGCCCCAAGTCCAGGAAAAGGAAGTCAATGCTCTGGAAGCCAGACTCTGGCTCTCTCTGCCTCAAAGGAACGAGCTCGGAGCTGTGCCGGAATCTGGGAGAGCCTGGTCCCAGGCTGATGGGGAAGCAGCGGGTCACAGTGGGTGAGGTAAAGCTGGCTCCCACTCCCTCTTGAAGGGCCCAGGGGAGGCTAAAGAAAGGCCTGTTTGGCCTGGTTCCTGAAGGACCCCCCACCCGCCCCTCCAGGGCCCCATGCCCCTCAGGCTTGGCCCAGCCTCAGGGAAGACTGCTTCTTCAGGAGTCTCTGCTCAGGGGACCACAAACAGGTACCCTGGGCCAAGCTGAGAAGCTCTGGTGCTTTTCTTATACCCTGGCCTCCCCTTCCCTCCCATGGGGCCCAGAACCCAAAGGGGCCCCTGCCCTCCCCCCCCAAGAGAACCACAGGCCAGCAACCTCAGGCCCCTGTGGCCCCTTAACCAAGTGCTGTGCTTCAAGCAGTGCCCCCTGCCCCGAGCCCCACTTGCCGTGGGCAGCCCAGTGTGGGCGAGAGGAGGCTACTGGGGGTTCTTGAGGATGCGGCCATGGCGGAAGTCATAGACATGGCGGCAAAGAAACACCAGCTCAGGGTCCGTGTCCTCGGGTACTGTGCGGTGTGGCGGGGTGGAGTAGTCTGCAGAGGGGGGCACCAGTGCTGTCTTTCGGCTGGGGAGGCCCTCACCTCGGCGCTTGGCCATGGCACAGAATCTGCAGTGACACACCGTTTGCTGTCTTTACCACAGCCACCTTTGCAGGAAGACCAATTCCTTCCCCACCCTGCCCAGGGAGCTGGGACATCCCCTCCTGCCCCTGCAAGGGCTGATGCTGCCTCCATCTCTGTCCTGCCAACTGCCAGCCCATCTTCTCTGTCACTAGGGGATCACACCTGCTGGGGCCTCCCTCCCAACCACCTGCCAGCTT